CAGGAGACCTCACTGACTGTCAGGCTGAGATGACTTCTGTGTATAGGCTTCAGCAATAAAACAGCTAATTGAATTCTTCAAGTGCAGGCCTGGAAGTTTGTGCCTGAAATTAATCACCTTAGACTCATGGTTTGCACCTGGGTGAGACTAGATCAGGGCTTTTCAACCTTTTCACCCATTGTACCACTTTTAGGATATGGCAATATCTGAGTACTACCAATCACCTATCAAGGTGTCAAAAACTTGATGACCAACATCAAGGTAGGTAGTCCTCCACTTACAACAGTTTGCTTAGTGACTGTTCGAAGTTACAATGGCACTGAAAAAAGTGCCCCCCAAGCCACAGCCGAGCAAGACACCTGCCTGCCCGCCCGGCCGCGCTCTTCCTCCTTTCCGAGGTTTTTATTGTTGTGAGCATTTCTGTTGAGGATTGGCAGCGGGGGTGGGGTGGGGGGGTGTTTGGTTTTTATTCCCCCCGTCTGCTGGGTGGTTGCAGCAGGTTTTGGTCACTTCACATGACCCCGGGACACTGTGACCGTCATAAATATGAATCAGTTGCCAAGCATCTGAATGTAAATCACAAGACCCTGGAGAGGCTGCAACATTCCAGCTCATTGGTGCTTCTTCAGGGCTCGGCAGAAGCACCAGGATCAGCGCCGAGCTCCAGCTGGAGCCTGGCGCTGATCCTGGCGCTTCCGCTGAGCCCTGACAGCCCTGCAGTTCCAACCATCTCTCGCTCAGGCTTGTGCGGTGCTGCCACTGTTCAGCTCATTCCCCTCCCCCGCTACCACTTTTCTAGGATGGTCGTGTACCACCTGCTAGGTGCCAATGTACCACAGGTGGTACCCATACCACTGGTTGAAAAGCCTTGGACTAGATAAAGTTCAACGGCATTCATGGGAGTCAGACTTCACTCTCCTGTGCCCACATAGGGATTCTAAACTGAGTCCCTGTTTGACTCCTTCGCCTGGCTCAGCCAGCCTCTCTCTTACACTCCTCCTCCAATAAAAAGTCAGGAAGGAAAAGGAATATTGAGGAGAAATATCAGAAGAACAGGTTGAGTCGTGAGTGAGTGAGCCAGACATGACAATGATGAAGTGAAAGGATTATATAGATTGACTCTCAGTATTCACCTACAGTTTGGCTGACTAGCAAAAGTTGCAAGTGTCTAAAATACTAAAACCGGGTAATGAAAACAAGCATTTTTGGAGGAAGGTGCGTACCTCTTTTGCTAATATTATTGGAACAAGGCAAAGATTTCTACGCAGTTGCCAAAGGATTATATTAAGTAAGAATCTGCCAATTTCTTGATCCAGGACATACTGTTCTGGATAATACAGATGTCTTTCAAAGCTTTCCATGCCCAGAATACCTCAATCTCTTTGTGGTTTGGCAGATTCACTTCCATACATTGGCTAAACTGCCTCAGTCCTAAATTTTATGGTCCAGAGGAGAGCAGAGAATTCCCGAATTCACCCAGGGCGGTCTGCTTCCAGACTGATGAATTCTACAGATCTCTAAAATACAGGTAGTTCTTATGACTACAATTGAGCCCAAAAGTTCTGTTCTTATGTGAATTTTGCCCCATTTTTACGATCTTTCTTGCCATAGCTGTTAAGTGAATCATTGCAGCTGTTAAGCTAGTAACCCAGTTGTTAAATGAGTCTGGCTTCCCCTCTGATTTTGCTTCTCAGAAGGTCGCCAATTGGGATCACGTGACCCCAGGGCACTGCAACCGTCATAAATATGAGTCAGTTGCCAGGTGTCTGAATTTTGATCACGTGACCCTGGGGATGCTGCAATGGTTGTAAGTGTGAAAAACGGTCATAAGTCACTTTTTTCAGTGCCGTTGTAACTTTGATTGGTCACTAAATCAATTGTTGTAAGTCGAGAACTAACTGTAAATGCAAATCCGGTTCCAGCATGATGTAATTAGCTTTCAAAATATGCTCTTTTTAATTCATTAACATCTAATAAACCCTTTTTTAAAAAAAATATAGGCACTTCTGGAAACTCATCTCTGTTATGGCAGTTTTCCATCAATCAATTCTCATTTGTGATCAAGGAAGAGAAGGTAATCAGATCCACTGTTACACTGGCCAGGAACTGAGCAGTTTTGCTGATTTGAGAACAATCCTCAAACATATTTGAATAAGAGAGAAAGAGAGAGAGAGAGAGAGAGAGAGAGAGAGAGAGAGAGAGAGAGAGAGAGAGAGAGAGAGAGAGAGAGAGAGAGAGAGAGAGAGAATATTTTCAGTAACATTGGAAACAGGTTTGCCAAGATATTTGTACAAATCCTATCAGAATTTAATATGTTCCTTTTAAAAACACATGTTCCAGACAGGGGATTCCAGGAAATAGAGAGAAATGGACTGGATGTCTTAATATCACTGTATTCCTTGGTCCAAAAATCAAGCTGACGTGGGTAGTTAAACCACCATTTAAGGCAACAAAACACCGTGTTACGGAAAAGGGGCGGGGCCTTGTTTAATATTCACATGAGATGAGAACATTAAAAATATTCATATAACTGTTATTTATGTGATTGCAATTATTTTATTTGTGTCTGCGTGTGCGTGTGTTGCATTTTTATTAGGTCTGCACCTGTCCTTGGGGAGAAGTGCTTTGTAATGCAAGGAGAGTGCTCGTGAACACATCTTTTCTCATGGTTAAGTTAAAAATTGTTTGATTTGCTGGCTGTGAAAGCAGCCACATCCTCTCCTGGGCTCCCGCACTTTTGTGAAAGTTACTCCGAGCTCTGTGTACCTGTATGCCCCTGTATAGCCACAATTTTTGGACAGAGACCACCAGAAGCAGCTTCAAAAGCAACAGTGTGTAAAAGACATGGCTGCTTTAAAGATATCAAAATATCACCACGTTATGAAAAAGATGCTTAGGTTTTGGAAATAGTGCAGAGAAGAGCAGCCAACATAATTTAGGCTAAAACATATGAAGAACGGTTGCTGGAATTGGGTATGTCTAGTTTAATGAAAAAAAAGGACTAGAGGTGACAGGATAGCAGTCTTCCAATATTTGAGGGGCTGCCGCAAAGAAGACGGGCTCAACCTATTTTCCAAAACACCAGAAGACAAGACAAGAAGCAATCAAGGAGAGAAGCAACCTAAAACTATGGAGAAAATTCTTACAGCGAGGACAACTAACCAGTGGAACAACTTGCCTCCAGAAGTTGTGGGTGCTCCAACACTGGAAGTTTTTAAGAAGAGACTAAACAGCCAATTGTCTGGAATGGCATAGGGCAGGGGTAGTCAACCTTGGCTCTTTTATGACTCGTGGACTTCAATTCCCAGAATTCCTGAGCCAGCTTAGCTGGCTCAGGAATTCTGGGAGTTGAAGTCCACGAGTCATAAAAGAACCAAGGTTGACTACCCCTGGCATAGGGTCTCCTGCTTGAGCAGGAGGTTGGACTAGAAGACCTCCAAGGTCCCTTCCAACTCTGTTATTCTGTTAAATTATGGACCTTCTCCTGTGGGACGCACTGCTGTGGTTCCCCTACTTCTTATAAGTCCAATGAGAAAAGTGATCTATTTGAGTAGATTGTTCTCCTCTGCCCAGCTCACCCTGTCTGTGGAACATCTACAGAATTCTGACATTTATTGGAGTTATTTCCATCGATGTAAATTCCAAGTCACATATAAATTAATCCCCTTCCATAGCTCTTTTTTTTAAAAGGACCTTTCATATTACTCCGTGGCATGTATTGCTATGTATTGCTAATAAGATTAATTTGTTTAAAGAAGTAGTGTCAAGGAATTCCTTCCACTGAAGTGGAACAGGATCAGCAGCTTAACCATGCATTGACAGAATTACTTGAGCCTGTTCTTCTGCATAAAGAATAATTCTTAGAAGCAATTTCCTGCAAATCCTGTTGCTTCAGCAGAAGATTGACTTAGCAAAAGGTGATACTTCTAAACCTTCCTGTTTTGGCTTTATACTTTTACCGGCTGACTTAGCAAAAGCAATGAATGACCAAGCTGACTGGACAAGTAATAATTTATCCACTAATTTATCCGCTATTATCTTTCATCCTCAAAAAACAAAGAAATAAAAGAGAGTTTTTTTAAAAAGTCTTGCTTTCACACCAAGGCTGTCTAAACTTTGATAACTACAGTTGCATGTAAGTTATTATAGGAGGACAAGATGGAGGATGGACAAATGAAAGATTATTATGTTTTCCTAAAAACATAATAATAATATAGTCAAGACTACAAGGCTCTTTACAGTAGCTGGCATCTGTCGCCATAAAGATGCTATTACAAATATTTATTTATTTGATTTACGCAGAGTTCTACAACTTTCTTCACCTAAGTTGAATGAGAATTTTGAGACTTGTGCTCCCAATTTCTAGTGGTTGTTTTCTAGATTGGAAAAAACTCATGTCACATCTGTCTTGTTTGGGTGTGTGCCTTTGAGTCAGTGTTGATTTCCTGGCAACTGCCTGGACTAATCCCTACAAGATTTCAGAAATGGTTTGCCATTGCTTGCTTCCTTGGGCTGAGACAGTCCGAGATCATCCAGCTGGTTCTGTGACTAAGATGGGACTAGAACTCACAATCTCCCGGTTAGCAATAAAGGAGAATAATTGTGGCTCAGGGTTGAAATGAGGGGTCCTTGGTGCTCTCTGAGCTGGGTGTTTTTCTTGCAGATGTTTCATTATCCAACTAGGTAACATCATCAGTGCCAGAAGGGAGTGGGGTTTGTGAGGAGGAGGAGGAGGAGGAGGAGGAGAAGGAGAAGGAGAAGGAGAAGGAGAAGGAGAAGGAGAAGAAGGAGAAGGAGAAGGAGAAGGAGAAGGAGGAGATGATGATGATGGTCCTTGGTGTCTCTGAGCTTGGTGATTTTCTTGCAGACGTTTCATTACTCAATTAGCACTGATGATGTTACCTAGTTGGGTAATTAAATGTTTGCAAGCAAACAACCAAGCTCAGGGAACACCAAGGCCCTTCTGAGATATATCCATGGTGCTATTAAATTTTAAATACCTTGAGATCTCTGTGAACAATGCCCATCCGGTGAAGATAGTAGACAGCGTCCAAGACTTGTCGTATCAGAGTACTTGCATCCTTTTCAGTATAAAATCCTTTCTCCACGATGCGGTCAAATAGCTCACCTCCAGACACTCTGAAAAACATCACCAGATACAGCAAGATTTTAACAGACCTCATCATTAGATGACCAATTAGAAGAAGAAGAAAAAAAAACCCCAAAGCAGTCCGATTGAAAGGAATCAAATCTCTGTATCTTTCTCATTTTGGATGCATGCAATGGAATTGCAACACGCCAAGGAGAAAATTCGTCTTTCATTTAAAGCCTGATCTCATTTATTTTTGCATGTTTGCTTCAAATAGCTTTCAAGTGGGTAAGAAGGGCAGTTCCTGGGGGGCCCTGTGCTTTGTATCCCAAAGTTAGTTATGTTTCTTAGAAAGGTCAAATTGCCTGTTGCTTTTGCTAATTAGAATCTGAAATCCATGTAAAATATCAAGGTCCCTTTCTTGGGGGGGGGGGGAAATCAGAAAATAACAGGAACATCTTTTTAAAATGTTCCAATCCAATTCCGAAATGTGAAGGGTGTTTTTAATGAAATGTCTCTTCTGAACCTTACCATAATTCTTGTAACTACTGAATCAGTGGAATCCCTTCATGAATTCCTCTAAGAACACCCAGAGTAAAGTGTGACAAATCTATATAAATAAAAATGTAAATGTTCGTTTGTTCAAAATCTTAAATCTCCGAAAGTTCTTCACCGATTGTTTTGAAATTTTGACACAACGTTGCATTCGAATACGCACGTGTTTCTATATACCTACTATTATATAGATCTCACACCTGTGACAGGTAAAACATGCTTTTTTTAAAAAAAACAACAGCGCTTTTGTTCCATTGCTTCTCACATGGACAATTATATGTTGCGTGTTCTAGAGTCGGCAAACCAGACAATCTCTATATCTGCACAGACAATGGAACAACAAAAAATATTGTATACCCACAAGCACTGTGAAATTAAACATATTACAAACGTGCGCTTTCTCTTTTCTTTCTTTTCCATTTAACCAGACTGAGCCACAGCAACACGTGGCCGGGTACAGCTAGTCTAAAATAAATTTCAGGAAGTCAATAAGATTCAATTCAATTCAATTTATTTGATTTATATACCGCCCTTCTCCCTTGCGGGACTCAGGGCGGTGAACAGGCACATTAATAAAACAGCGATACCATAATATTTAAAAATATTAAAAACTAATTAAATTATTTGTCCTGTCCTAAAACCCACTATAATAATATAAAATTATACCCAATTTAAAATTTTAGAATTTCAGA